AGCTACACTAAAGTTATAGGGAGCTCTGATCTCTGATGGCCTAGTGGCAAGAAGCTGCACTGCAATCAAAAAGACACACAGTTCTAATCTGCTCTGTGGGAGAAAGACAGACAATCTCCTCCAGTGTGTGTGATTAACTGCCTGAAGACCTGCTGGAGGGGCAGCTGTGGATTGGTTCTGACTCGACAACATCAACAACTGAAGGTATCTGGGGGGAAAAGTCCCAGGAATTGATGAAATACCAGTTGAGACGTTTCAGGAAATAAATGTAGCTCTGAATATGCTTACCAGTTTATCCTAAGACATTCGAAAGACAGCTATTTAGACAACAGGCTGGAAACGACTCCTATTTATTCCCATTCCATTAAAAGGTGATTCAATAGAGTATAGAAATTATCTGTTAATGTCGCAGGCCAGTAAAATCTTACCGAAGATAATTAAAAATGGCTGGAAAAGAACAGGGAGCTCCCAGAAATGCAAGGTTGATTCAGGAGAGACCATGAGGTTTGTGTTTTGTTGACTATGCAGAGATGTTTGTATGGATTATAGAAAATTATGCCAACCATTGAGAAGAATGGTAATCTCAGAACACTTAATTGTGCTTATGTAAAACTTATACCTAGACTAAGAAGATGTTGTCCACACAGAGTAAAGGAACACTGCATAGTTTAAAATTAGGAAAGGATTATGTCAGAGTTCAATACTTCTCCATACCTATTCAGTGTGTAAGCTGAGCAAATCATGAGAGAAGTTGGACAATTTGAATAAAATGGCATTAGGATTGGAGGAAAACACATCAGTAACTTCTGTTATAAGCTGGGACAACCTTTCTTGCAGAAAGTGAAGGGAACTTGAAACACTTGTTGCAAGAAGATCAAAGACTACAGCCTTCAATATTGATTACATCTCAACATCAAGAAAACAAAAATCTTCACCACTGACCAAGTGGCAACATCATGACAGGAGAAAAGATTGAAGTTGCCAACTATTTTACTTGGATCCACAATCAACATCTATAGTAGCAGCAGCCAAATGAAAAGATATGTTGCATTAGGGAAATATGTTGCCACGGCCCTCTCCAAATTTTTAAAGAGCAATGATGTTAAAGACTAAGGTGCACCTGATTCAAGAAATAGTATTTTCAGCTGCTTCCTATGCATCTGAAACTTGGAGAGTGAATAACAATCACAAACAAACAAATCTATGCCTTTGAGTTTTGTTGTTGGAGAAGAGCACTGAATATTTTAAAAATTGTCAAAAGAACTAACAAATCAGTCTCGGAAGAAGTGAAACTAGGGAGCTCTTGAGAGGCAAAGATGCTGACGTTGTTTCACATCCTTTGGTCCTGCTGTTAGGAGGGACCAGACCCTGGAAGAGACAACATTCTGCCAAATGTATACGGTGAGAGAAAGAGATGAAGACTCTTAAGATATATTGACACCATGACTGTAATAATAGGCTTGAGCACATGCTGGAAATTGTGAGAATGGTGCACGATAGGACCAGGTTGTTTATGGGGTTGTCAGTGGTACCTGACTTGAAGGTACGTAACAACAAATGCATGTTACTATTTAAAAAGAATGGATAGTGTTTTGGGCATTGGAATGTGCCATAATGATATAAAAAGCTGCTCAATATGTTTCTTATACCCGACTGTAATGTCACATGTTGTGACAGGCCAGTGTCCTTTAGTTCAAGGCTTTATCACACATACCTTTATGGAAGTTAGACTATCATTCAGCTTAAGTTATTTGGATACTCTTATTGAATATTGGACATACCGTAAAATTCATATTTTCTCATGTTTAATAAGCTGAGTATCAAGGTGTATTTTTTATTGCTTGAAAAAATAAACTTTTTTAATATTGGGGGAAAATTAAGATACTCTCTTGAAATAAAAAAGGAAATGTTTTCTGTGTTCAAAATACACGTGGTCCATAAGGTTGTCTTTATTCAGGCTGTAAGACAGTGTTGATAGGACCTTAGGCTTTTAATGTTGTTATGGAGACATTTAAAACATTGAAAACTTTTCTTCTTCTTGTGCCCAACACAAAATAAGCCACTAAAACAACCAACAAACAATTTTATTGCCACCTTCTTGCAGCCGTTGCTTCACAGGAGAAACACTGTAGCATACCTCTTTACTGTGGGGCTCAGGAAGGAGGATTTGCGCGTGTGCGCGCGCGCGCGTGTGTGTGTGTGTGTATTGTAAAATGGGATCTGAATGGTACAAGAGGAGACTGTCCCTCCTTCTCCAGCAGAGCACCTGGTCGATTCGAACCTCTCACCTCTGGGATTGCAGTGGAGCGTCTTGCCACTAGGCCACTGGAGCTCGCCTGCCTTCTATTTTTAATGAGTTGATGAATTTATTTTTCTCAAGTTGATCATAATCTTGACTGTGAAATGGGTTTTAAGTTTCATTCATACCAAGAGTTAAATGAATAAAGTTAGTTCATTTAAAAAGCCCCTTGTTGAACACGTTGAGCCATTCCATCTCCTAGAGACCACACGTGACAGAGAACTGCCCAGAGCGTTTTCTAGGAAGTAATCTTTACATTTCTGTTACAGGTAGGTCACCACGGCCTGGGAGCCGTTGATGGATTTGAACCTCTCACCTTTTGGTTTTGCAGCTGAGTACTTAACTTGTGTGCCACCAGTGACCCTAAACATTAAGTACTATCAACAGTACATTAAGTGGCATTTAAAAATCATGTGAACTGCTGAAGTCTGATAAAGAGTTTTATGACGTTGTGGTAAATGGATTTAGACTATGTCCATCCAGTGACTGAATTTCCTACAACAAGCCTTCTCTCCTTAATAATAGAAAGTAGCATATTATTCTGGCAGCCTATTATGTACAGCAATTTTTTTACAATGAACAGTTTAAAATAAACTGTGTATGATATTAAATACAAGCTAATTACAACTTTCATATACAGATAAAAGTCCAAAGTGCAGCTATACAAAGTCAACATCATGAGTCTTCCTTTTATTATGTGGAGGGACAAAATCTATATGAGGTCTCAGATCATGACGGGTGCACAAAGAGAAAGCGGCATTAAAGGAATCCAAAAGTAGAAGGCAGGCCAGGAACTGTTTTTTTGGTTTTTTTTTTTTTAATATCTATATAAAAAATAACGAGCGATTTACAGATCTCTTTCTCTAATCAGAACCTCAAATGTATATATAAAGGTACTGTACAATATATAAACATTTACAACCAGTACATCCATATTTTGCTTAGCATTCCAAGGCCACATTTCTAAGTCAGCATATAGTTAGTACAATGACAGGTTACTTAGGAAGAGCCACACCAGACTGACAACATATGACATCAGAGTTATGCCACAGGTAACAATAAAAATAGGAGCTGTATCACTAATTGTGAACTAGAGGGGAAATAAATCATTTCTGTGGTACTAAATTCTTAGCATTTATCAAGCCTCCTAGTTTTGTTCTATTCAAGTAGTTACAATATGTGGGTGAATATAATTCCGATGAAAAGGGAAGTTAAAAAAATCTCCCTCTGGGGAGCACGCCTCTACTGGGACTGATCGAGGTGGTGTAACACGGAGCGCACAGTCAGACTCTGGGAGGGAAGGACCTGGACATAATGGGTTTCACGCAACAAGATGAGCCCCGGGTGACGGAACAAGGAGGCTCAATACTCCACAGAATGGTCTTCAGCAGAGTTCATTATTTATAGATGCCACTGAATGCTGCTTCAGAGGACTGAAAACCTGGATCTAGTTTACAGAGTGAAAAACTCTCCATCTTCTCACAAATATGCTTAATTTTAATCGGACTTGAACAAAGTCTTGTGAAATCTGTATAAACAAAGCAGAGGTCTAGTTTCCCCTTGTTTTAAAATAAGAACATTAATATGGCTGGGAATGAAAATGAAGTAAGATCCAGCAAGTACTGTCAACCTTCCTTTTTGTCCCTGTGGGGAGCCCTTAGCCGGGTTCTACTTCTAAACATCCAAATGGTGCAGCTGCCGCCAGGGGACCGAAGGCTTCCTCTGGCAACAGACTCAGAGACCAGGTTCATGATTAGTACGCCCCTTACACAATCTACATAGTATCTAGACTTTTTCAAATATTATGCATTAAGAGTGAATGACTTTAGTAGCAGAAATGACCAAACTATCCTGAAATAGCAATTTCGTGTTTTTTTTTCCCCCCAAGAAGAATGAGCAGTATTTCCACATGCTTGTTTGTGACTTTATAATAAAATAACTGAACTAGGATCGGGTATCTGAGATGCAGTAACTACATCAAGATTGGATAACATAATAGGAGGTAAACTCTTCATTGCTTAAAGCACGTCCTCATTTGGAACATTCAATTGTAAGCAGTATCTTTAATAGTTAATTAAAACACTTTATCCAGCCAAATGAAAATATAAAGCTGTAAGAAAGTGTCAATGTTTGACAATGTGTGTGTGTAGATATAATTTTATTTCCCTTAAAGTAGCGATGTTTTGGGGTTTTGTTTTTAAACAGGGACAGTGTCAGTAGCTATTAGAAGAGGCAAATGCTATCTTTAAATGATGAGCTAACAATCTCTTCTTCTGCAAAGACTCAAATATTTCTGTAAACATGCAACATGCTATAGAGAGTATCGACTTCCGAGCCAAACTGAGCTTCTTCATTACTGTGAGTGAGAAGGAGAAAAGAGACATGATACAGCAGATAACTTGGCACAAATACAAAGTGAGTTGTGATCACACAGTCATTATTGACACCTGTGCAGACAGTCATGGAGCCGGGCGGGCAGCCTGGGCGGCTCCTTCCTGAGACGAGGGACAGGCAGCCGCGGGCGCCTGGCGCTCAGCAGTCCTAAAGGCCCTTCACGCAGCCTGGGTAACTGGATGCTCAAATTAAAGTGTATCTGGGTGTGTGTAAGAACTTTTGAGGGGAAAGGAAGAACACACTTTTTAAAATGCTGCTTTTAATAAGAAAAGATTAAAACTTGTTTTTCTATGTTTTTCACTAAAGGTCACAGCCGTTTTTCTGGCACACCAGTGCCTGTGACTTTATTGGCACGCGGCACCTTCCAGGGCCCTGGAGTAATGGGTGCTTTCTTAGCTGGGGAACCGCTTTCAGGTTTGAGCTCTGCACCATCTCTGGTTTTGTCAGCTGCTTCTGGTTCTTTCCCTTTGTGATCTTCTATTTTGCTTAAAAGCATTCTGTCTTCAGGTTCCTGCTTCAGCTTTTCTGACAGTTTGACATTTCCTCCTATTGGGTCTTTGCTAGAACTAATTTCTCCCAAGGTTGCTTTCCTCCCCTTTTCCTTTTCCGTTACTACTCTACCAGTAGTGTCAGGACTTGTAGCCTTTCTGGATGCAAGAGGCTTTTCACCTAGCCGCTTGCCCTTCTTCTCTGGAGACCGTGTTCTGTGCTTACCCGGTTGACTCGGCTTTGCATCTTTCCTGATGACACTGGGTTTTTCTTGCCATTCCTGGTTCTGCTCAGCGTGGTCACTTGCACGGCCCTCTGCGTGGCGCCTCTCGCCGGCTAATGGTTTGGTTTCCGCAGCGAGCTGGTCTTTGCTGCCTGCACGTCTCTGCTGCTTTCTCCCACACTGATCTTGTCCAGAACCGGCTCTGCTTTGCTGACTTCTGTTCTCCCCTTTCCTGGGGCTCAGTGAGCGCTCTCTGGGCCTTCTCTTGGGGTCATTTTTCAGAGTGCCTGGCATCTTCTCCACATGTTCCTCGGAATACCGACTGGCTGACTTTTTGGGACTAGCAGATCTACCTCTCCGTGTGACACCATTTTCTACTTTCAATAGATTTTTCTTCTCACTGCTCCCATGACTATTGGCTGGATCCTTCTTATTCACATTTTTTGGGGCAAGAGACTGATGTTTTATCTCAAACTGATTTTCATTTAAAGTGCTTTTCTTTTCAGGCATGATGTCCTTTAGTTCTTCTGCCTTTTCACGTATCTGAACTCTCATTAAAGGTTCTTCAATTACCGGGACAGGAGACTCTTCAAATATGGAAGCAGAATGTGAAGATGGGGGAAATGGCGACTGCTCATCATAAATCACATTTGAAGATGAAGGATTAGTAAGATCCCAATCACCTAAGAAAGAGAAAGCCACATGAGTGGAATACTATTACATTTTAGAATTACGAATAGGAACACTAAGTTCTGAACTTTGAATTGTACTGACTTTTAAACAGCCTGCACATGTATATATTAGAAGTTTATACACATTTGTATTTCTGCATATATAGGCAGATGTGCACAGACATTCGTACTTGTATAGGAAGGTGGGCTGTTAATATGCACAACATAACAGGATTTATTTATCCAATTACTTATGCATTTAATTAATGAGATAAATAACATATGTATAAGTTATAAGTAGTAGAGCCCAACACTGAACTCATTATGTCAAGTGAAAAAAAAAGAAAACTGGACCAAATTACCTGGTCCGATAAGCTTATAATTGATTGTTAATAGATATAGCTTAATAATCTGCCAAAACTACTTATTAATAAATGAAGCTAAACTGTGGTAGCATGAATGAAAATCGCAGACACTTGTAAATAATTTTGGTGAGTTAAGCTATCAATCAAATTTCACGTCAAAAGAAAACGGAAAAGTATAGAAGATAGGATGGATGTATTTAATAGTATCATTTTTAATTAAAAAGAAAAAAAAAGAAGGAAGAGATTGACAAGACATGCAAATTTACCAAGTCTTTTTAAGGATAGACCAAGAAAAGCCCTGAAAGCCTTAATGCTGCTCAGGTTTCACGTAGGAGCACAGACCGGAAGGAGCCAAACCTGAAGAAGGAAGAGAAAAAGCCTAGGACTATGTTAAAAAAAAAAATAAAAATCAAATCACAGTGCAGTTAGCAAAGATGTCACTGGAACGTATGATTTATAAGCAGATGGTGGAAGATAACACAGTCAGAGAATCACAGCCTGGAGGGCCTGGAGGAGGTCACATCCACACTTAACCCTCGAAGGGGAGCTGTGCAGAGCAGGTATTCAGTGGGCATTTAGTTCTTAAATACAATCTTTATGCCTATTATAGTACACACAACTAAAAAAAACCCAAACCCAAAGACTGACTTGTAGACAAGAAGGGTGTTTAGAAGGAGGACAGGAGTTCAGACATGGTCCCCAGGCCCAACTCCTTTCTCCACTTGTTTTTTTAAAAGTTCCTGGAAAAGCCTGAAATTTTCCTGCTAATTGTTAATCAATAAGCTTATCTTAATTTAAGGAAATAAGTAAATGTTGGTAACACAGCCAAGGTTAATTAATTGTTGGTAATTAGCCAAGGAAGAAAGCAAGCTAGGATGTTCTAAAGAAATAAATAAAAAAGACACTGTATTTTAGATATAAGTCTATACAGCAAATTTGGTTCCCATTTAATAATTTTTCCCCCCATTTAATTATTTTTATACATACTGTTCTGTGTCAGCCACTATCATTTTCACAATGTGTCAGTGTTCTAATTATTTCCATTTTATCTGTTCTGTTTCCACTGATCTAGCTTCCATCCCACCCCCCAGCCCCATCTTCTTATCTTTGCTTTTGGGTAAATGCTGCCTATTTAGTCTAATGAAGTCCAGAGGATATTTAAAATGCTTTACACGGCATTTGTATTATTTGCCTATAAATGTCCTTATTTTTTACAGGCACCTATCTCTACAAAAGCATAAATATATTTTACTCCAATAAAATTCCTGCCAGAAGTCACCTGTTTGATCAGACCACTATAACAATGCTGTGGAATTGTATTAGATGTTCTGGGGTCCACCTCTGCATCTGGCTCATCAATTACCATCCACTCCAAATAGACACAGATTTTCTACTGGCCCCTCCCCTGCAACACAACTTTTCAGCTACCAGTTGGCTACTTGACTTACCATGGTCAGGTATCAAGCCAGTTCCTGGCCTCAAAAGAAGAAGAACTTTATTCCCACCAGCCTGAATGAGTTCGATTGCTCGAGTATGTGTGATGCCTTGTGTAGGCTCCCCGTTGATTTCAACAATCTGGTCACCAACCTAGACAGGGAACAACCATTCAGAGGAATAATATGAAACTCTATGCATCTGCCTCCAACTCAGCTTCTCAACTCAAAGCCTGCTAAAGGACTCTCTCATTGTTAAAATATTTCATTTACATATGGTATGTCATGCTAGAGCTGAAGAAGAGTGAGTGGATAGATGGTGGCAATCAAGAGAGATGTAATTTACTTTAGAAAAACTGTACACTGGAAAGTTTTATCTGCCCAGTCAGTCAGGATCTTGAAATCCGAACACCTTGAAATCCAGGTTTAAATTCTAAGTTTTCATTGAATGTTGATGGAAGAGGTGATGTCTCGTCAACAATTCAAATGGTAATAACATATCCGAACAATCTATCTTATCAGAATCACTTTCAAACTTGAACTCGGATTTATTTCCTAAAACCTGGGCAGTGGCCCCTCATCTCTGACTCTCAGGAAGAACTTGCCATGCCTTCCTCAGGGCTGCCAACAGATGGACAACATCTTACTGAACATGATGAAAATCTACAAACATACAAACCTGCCTCTTAATGACTCTGAAATAGGAAAACAAGAATAATTTAGGGTTGGACACAATCTAACAATTACAGGGAATGTTTACTTGAACATATTTGCACATATTAAATTTTATCATTGGAGTAGCAGGAAAGTAAAGTAGCAGTACAAAGTACATCTTCTATGTTAAATACTTTTAGATATTTAACTTTTTAAAAAGGAAATAAAATCAAGAACATCAGTGGACAGATAAAAAAAATCTTCAAGTTGGGGCTACATCCAAGGTATCACACTAAGGAGTGGAAGAATGCATATCTAAGTAAATACAGAAAAAAGTGTTTGGTGGCAAATGGATATGACTGGTGAGTTTTGAAGGCTGGCATGAAGGACCATTAGTTAGTGAAAAGAAACAGAGGGTGGGGCTGGACTCACACACAGTGGTGGTACTGGGTACCCATACTATATGACGGGGCATCTGTCTATCTGTCACAGCCCCATCCCCCGACACCACCTCTGGTGGTCTAGCAGTAAGTAGCTGCAGTTCAAATCCACCAGGTGCTCCATGGGAGGATGGACAGCTTCCTCCCACGTGATTAAGTGTCTCAGAAACCTGCTGGAGGGTCAGCTATGGGTTGGTTCAACTAGATGATAAACAAGAGGGAGCTCTGGTGGCGTAGTGCTAAGAAGCTGTGCTGTCAACCCAGAGGTGGGCAGTTTGAATCCATCAGCTGCTCCATGGGAGAAAGATGGGCAATCTCTCATGGGATTTATAGCCTCTGAAAACCTGCTGACACGGTGGGGGGTGGGTAGCTACAAGTTAGTTCTGATCGATGGTAAACAAGAAGCAGCAGACGTGCAGAAGATACAGAGTCAATCTGCCAATTATTAAGAGTCTCAGAAGAATGTAGAAAAACCAGGTGAACACTTCAGAAAGCGTGGAGAAGGATGGAGAAGGCTTTACAATTAGCCACTTTAGTTTTTGTCCTTTAGAGCGAAAGGAAAAGTGGTGGGTGGAAAAGGAAATATTTAAGATGGACAGTTACCACCACTGCCTGGGCTTTGACTAAACTGACAGATTTAGGCTGGACAAATAAATCATAATGCAACTTAGCATTTTAAAGGAGACATCAAAGTTATGACCATGTTAGAGAATATAGGAGACTAAAAGATGGAAGATATTCACTGTGGGGTTTCCCCCCCCCTTTTTTTCTGGTGTACTGTTGAGTTGGATCTGACTGGCACAGGAGGAGATTGCCCCTCCCTCTCCAGCACAGCATCTGGTGAATTAGAACTCTGTGCCTTCGGGATTACAGTGCAGCTTCTTGCCACTAGCTCCCTGACCGATATTCTTAAATACTGATATGCTAAGAAGGAAATATCAGGATTTCCAAGACTGTTGAAGATTTGTATGCAAAATAAAGGCCATCGGATGGAGAGGCTAAGGGTAAGAAGGCCCAGAGGCCAATCCCATGACTCCTCACTCTCCCACCATCAGAGGGGGATTCCAGTTTTTCATGGTCAATAGTAAAAATTATTAGTACCAATAATGTGAAAGCATACTAAGGTTATCTTCTAGTTTAATTTAAAAGGCAATAGAGTTTAAGGTATTATAAAAACATGTTTAAAGATAAAGAATAATGACAACAGAGAGTGATGTTCATTTCCTCAGGTATCCGGAAGACATTCACAACATAGTATTTATGAATGTACATTTAGGAAGTATGAAAGTACAGACATCTACAGATCTTATTCACAAACTATACAGTTAGAAAGAAACTGAAAGGTGAAACCATCCCTTCCTCCAACATGACAGTTAGCTCACACCTTTAAACCAAGGAAGTCCAGAACTAACAGCAAAGACATTTCTTAAAAACAAGGAAAATGTACCTACAACATAACATCTGACTTTACGCTGTCCAAGTATTGCTCGTATATGCCGAGGAAACTACACAGCCTACAGGAGACATGACTATATAATGCAACTTAACAAAGTCATTCAAATGCAAAAGTTTATAGATGGTCCTGGGCACACAAAGGTTTCTGGAAGCCATAGTTTGAAATCGTAAGGATGGATAGTGTTTGATAGTGACGGCCTGTGGGTCTGCAGCACGAAAGGGCATAAGGCCTTCCTGGGAACACGGGCCAGGAGGTCAGAACCCCGAATCTCCCAGTCACAGCACAGCTGCATGGAAGGCTGAACGAGCAGGAAAATGGTGGTTTCTTAATGGGCCCTTCGCCGTGTGCTCAGTTTCAGGATGGCTACAGATTGATGGCTTTGCTTGGTGAAGAGGACTCATGTTCCCTGCAGGGCTGAGGCATGGGGACCTGCAGATGGGACCTTCATCCTTATAGAAAGATGAAGAAGGAAGAGATCACGGAAGTGAAGCTAGTATGAAGCTTACTAAGCAGACCTGAACACAGAAGACCATTCACATGCCAGCTTTCTCCCACTACTGACATGAGGGAAATACTGGGAAATTACCAGAAGCAGATTTAGAATTCAGCAAGCGCTCTGGGGGCTTAGTGGAAAGGAGCTGTGCTGCCAGCCCAGCGGCCTTACTCAGGCGGTGCGCAGCCACCAGGGAGAAAGGAGCAATCTCCTCTTGTGACCTACTGCCCTTGAAAACCAACGGGAAGATCAACTACGAGCGGGCTCTAGCTTGGTGATATGCAGACCCAGAGGTTCATTTTGAGAGAATAGGGATGTTGTGTTTTGGGGGAGGGTGGAGGGAAATGAATGATTTAGCTGTCCAGCCAGCCTCACAGGACAGGACCCCAGATCTAATGCAATGTGAGCATCGTGGTGTGAGTGCCTCCAGCACCGCTCTCCTCCCTGGGCCTGGAGACAGAGATCAGGGCTGTTTTTAGCTGACACCAAAAACGAAGAAAATATGGAAAAATAGATGAAGCCAAGCCATAGTCAATATGGGTATAATGAGAAACACATGTTTTTGGTTATAAACCACTGAGATTTGCAGGTCATCACTATATATTTAGATCAAGATGATCTGTACAAGGGATAGCTGCTGCCGCTGTTAAGTGCCATCAAGTTGCCTGCGACTCACAGCAACCTTATGTACAGTAACTCTGAGCCCTGCTCTATCTTGAGCCAATCTCACTGTCTCTGACACACCTACCCCCATTACCCCAGTTGCTGAGTCAATCCATCGCATTCAGTGCCTTCCTCTCTTGCGCTGTCCCTCCACCCTTCCAAACATGATGTCCTTCTCCAAAGTGTGTCAGATGGAGTTTCAAAATCCCTGCCTCCAAGGAGAAGCCTGGTTTCACTCTCTCCAGGTTGAACGTGTTTATTCTCTCAGCAGTCCATGGTATATTCAATACTCTTCTCCAGCACCACAGCAGAAAAGGCATTGTTTCTTCTATCATGCATAGTCAATTGTCCAGCTTTCTGATGCATAGCAAGAAAGTGAGAAGCCTGGATCAGGTGCACTTTAGTTTCTAGACTGACATCATTGCTCTTTAGCACTCTAGAGAGGTACATGACAGCATTTTCCTAATGCAATTTGTCTTTTGATATCCTGGCTGCTGGTACCAAGAGTGTTGATTATGGAGCCATGCAAGCTAAAGCTTTAACAATCTCATTCTCTTCACTATCTATTATGATGCTGCAAATTGGCCTAGTGGTCAAAATTTTTGTTTTCTTGATGTTGAGTTTCAATCCCTATTGAAGGCTGCAGTCCTTGAACTTCTGTAGCAAATGTCTCAGATCCTCCTCAGTTTTGGGAAGCAAGGTTGTGTCATCTGCATAACACAGGCTGTTGATGAGTCTTCCTCCAATCCTGATGTCATATTCTTCCTCATAGAGCCCAGCCTCCCGGATGATCTGTTCTGCATATAAATTGAACAGGCATGGAGATAGGATGTATCCCTGGCATATATCTTTCCTGGTTTTTAACCATGAAGTGTATTTATTGATCAAAACTGTAAAGACTTATGCTTGGAAACTATATTAGTATGAGTATGTGAAATTCAGTATGTAAAATCATACTGAATGATTTTAGTGTAAAATAGTTTTTCTATTAAAAAAATAACAAACTAGGGATCTGATTAGGTTTCCTCGGTACCACCACTTTGTATTAGAAACAGTGTCTTTCGTTATTTTAAAAAGAAAGGGGGAAAAATGGGAAAGTCAAGTATCATTTCGCAAAGTATAAATGATTAATGGTAATGACATCCTTCTAGATTTTAAAATATATTTCAAAGTGAAAAACAATTGAAGGATATTAGCTTCAAAACAGGAAGACTGAACAATAGACTACTACTGAAATTCCAAAGAGCAATTCAAATATTTATAACAGCTTACTGAAAACAACTCAGGAACAATACAATAGAGAGGAACTCAGAAGATTATTTGCAAGGCTGGTGGGATAACTCTGCAGTACAGGACCGTGACTAGGAAACTGGGCTTTGAAGTCACACTGGCCCCACTTCTTCCTTGAGGAGTGGCCTCCTTTACCTCATCTGTTGAATAGGGACAAT